TTCTTATATTTTTTTAGTGATAATAATTTTAAGACTAAACACAAATTATGCGTTAATTGTTAATTTCAATTATAGGCAACACTACGAGACCAGAGAGACAGACAGAGACAGAGAGAGAGAGAGAGTGAGACAGATAGAGAGAGAGAGAGCGAGAGAGACAGAGCGAGAGACAGAGCGAACTAGCGAGCGAGCGAGCAAGAGCGAAAGATTGAGAGTGAGATAGGCATACTCCTTACCTCTAGATGTGTTTGTTGTTGTTGTTCATTGTTGTTGTTGTTGTTGATAATGAAGTTGTAGTTGATGTTGATGTTTTTGTAGCTGTAGTTGTTATTGTTGTAGTAGTAGTTGTTGTTGTTGTTGTCGTTGGTGGTTACAGTGGGTGTGTCGATTGTATGAGATTCGAGCATTAAAAATTTTGCAACCTTGCGAGTGCGTGTGTTGCGTGTGCAAAGCAGCGGAAAGTTCTTCTTCTTGTTTCTTTTTTATTTTTTATTTTTTTTATATTTGCTTGTTTACTTTCTTTTTAATTTCGTTAAATATCATTTAAATTTAATTACGTATTTGATTTGCTTGTTTGTTGTTGCTTTTAAATTGAATTGGTTTTCTTTTTGAGGGGGGAGGAGGTTTTGCATTTGCGTTATTTGAATTTTGATATTAATTTATTTTCGCATGTTTTTTTTCTTCTTTGCTTTTTGCTTTTTGTTATTTTGTTTAGGTCATTTTGAGCAGCGGCGGCGGCGGCGTTTTACGGCGAATTTTAGCAGCATGTGAGCATGTATGTGTGGCGCATACCATGAAGAGAGGCAGATAGACAGAGTGAGAGATAGAGAGAGAGAGAGAGAGAGGGAGTGATAGATTGATAGTGAGAGAGCGAGAGTGGGGAGAGGAGCACGGGCAGTTAACCGTTACAACCGGGCACAACGAATTATCGAACAAATGGCAGCAGCTGCATATACAGTGACACTAGCTGCATGTGTGTGTGTGTGTGTGTGTATGAGTGTGTGTGTGTGTTTATTGCTGTTGTTGTTTGTTTAGCGTTCTGTTTTGTTTTGCTTTCGAGTCGAGGAAACACTGAATATACAAATACACTTGCAGTTAAGCTAACATGTGTTTCAGTGTATCTGTGTATATGGATGTTTATGTGTGTGTATGTGTGTGTGTGGCAAGTTTTACATATACGATCTTGCTAGAATTTGTAGCTGAGCTGTGGCAGTTACGTGGTCGTGGTGGTGGTGGGCGGTGGGCGTGTCAAGGTGGTTTAACGACACAATATCAAAGAAAAGAAAAGAAACAACAAAATTGTGAATGATTAATAATTTTAGTTGAATACATTTTGCTTTGCTTTGCTCATTTCAATTTATTTAAACTATATTTTGCTTTCATTTACTTATTTTTGAAGCAAAAACAATTGAAATACACTCGGTTGCAGCAGCAGCCACAGATAAAACACAGAAATCAACCAAAAATACAATAGAATTCCCTTTCAAATTCTAGACTAATCCTAACTAAGAGAACCCTAATATCTATATAAGTTTCTAGATTCAATGTGAATGTTTAGCTAAATTACTAACTCTTTCTTTTTCTTCTATTTATCTTCTATTTAGAATTTCTTATTTCTATCAAAATAAAGTCCAAACTGAAAAGTAGATAACTGAAATTTGTGACAGAGTTGTATTTGTGTTGTACTATATAATATATATATAGGTACATATAGTATATAGCATTTACTTTTTTTAGTACATGGTAGTTAGCACTCGTACTACACGATAGCAGTCTCATGTTTAATAAACGTACCAAGAGTTTCGATAGGTACACAATCAATATTTTAGTTATACATATACATATATAATTGATACTGATAGTTTAGCATAGTATATAGTATTTTTTATTTA